TCCCTCTCCTGCGCTGTCCCTCTGCCTTTCCGAGCATGATAGAAGTAGTTTAAATTTCTATTAGAGGTTAGTAGAAATGTTGTTGTTATGTACCATACTGTCAGAATCTATTCACAGCTGAACCTTTAGCTGGTTTTCAGAGACAGTAAATAAAAGGAGAAAATTGCCCGTCTTTCTCCTGTAGAGAAGCTGGTTTATTCGAACCTCATGCCTTTGGGTTGGCAGCATAACTCCTTATCACCAGAGCTTCCTCAGTGGAGACAGTGGTGTGATTTTTTGGGAAATAGTGATACACTGGTTTTTTCCTCACCCAAGGTCACATAGCTGCTGAATACTATCACATAGCTACTGAATACTATCCATGGAACTCTCACGAGTAAGAACCTACATTCTAGGATGTTACTTAAGAATTTTAATTCTGTTATGTTTTAATTTAAAAAAGCTATGTGATTTGTGGGGTGAGAGAGATGATTTCAAGGTGCATTTGCGTTGAACGGTAAAACGCTTCCTTGTCTCTTGATTTCAGGTTGCATTCACAGGAACCACTTTTGTTGGCTATGTAGGACTGTGGACTGGTCAGAGTCCACACAAGTTTACAGTTTCTGGCGATGAACGAGGTAATAATAATAAACCTTGCAAAGCACTTTTAGCCATATCTCTGTTCAGTTGTAAGTACTTTACCCCTTTTCTACCACTCTGCCTCTCCAGCAGGGCAGTGACTTCCGTTCTAGCAGGGAGAGATGGGATATGCAGATAGCCATGAGGAGGTAGCAGGGAGCCTCATCAGAAGCAAACCTGGGTGATGTTGATGGGGAGGGGCACAGGGGTGGGCAGTTACTAGAGGTAGAGGATCATGGACTGTCTCATCTAGGTGACCCCAGAGAAGTTCTCTAAAGCTGGAGGAAGCCTGTTGATGGTGGAAAGAACAAAAACCAGGAGGAACAAGCTTGGTGGGTTCCAGAAACAAAACATAGACCAATGGTTATAGCATGGAGTAGAGGGGTTGGGCATCAGAGTTGATACGGCAAGCTGAGGCCAGGTTGTCCTGGGCCTCAATGAGGATTTTGAATTTTCAGATTAAGATCTTTGCTCTTACTTGCTAATGCTGCAATGCTTTCTTATCTATTAAGCATGATAATTGGTGCGGTGAGAATGAAATGACTCACGGTAGGTGAAACACATAGCAGTGCTTGCTGTTGTCATAGCTCTGGCTTCCTCTGAGCGCTAGATGCCAATATCCCACCACTTTCTCAGCATCTCTACTCTGAGGTTTAATGTTGTTATGTGCTATCGAGTCGCCTGTAACTCATAGTAACCCTATGTACAACAGCCTTAAACCCTGCCCTAAACTGTGTCAATCTCACTGTCTCTCACACACCTACCCCCATGTACCCCAGTCGCTGAATCAATCCATCTCATCGAGGGTCTTCGTCTCCTGTGCAGTCCCTCCGACCTCCCAGGCATGACATCCCTCTCCAAGGACTGGACTTCTCAAATAGAACATGCTTAAGCAAGCCTCTTGCTCCAGACACCCATTTTCCTGCTCCACCTCACCTCCAGCCAAACCTGTACTTCTCCTGGTTTTCTGTTTCTTAGGAAACAACAACTCCACCCAGTCAGTCAACACCCAGGATCATTGATGCCTCACTGTCGATGCCCTGCCAGTTGTAATCCCTAAACATAGATGTTTTTATCCATAAATGGATGAATAAGAAAATGTAGTTATCTGTGCTCTCCACGTGTACTACTAGGCCTATACATCACGCCTGTACTGCTGCTTACTCTGCTACTGTTTGTACTTTCCTCTAAGTTTTTTTCTACCCAGTAGCTAGATCATGCTGTTTCTGCATTTAAAACCTTCTAAAGTTTCTATATTCACTTCTAACTTACCTAAAACCTTCATGCCCTAGATGGCTATCACATTCCGCTTTGTATCATAAACCTCTCTCCCTCTCACTCCACAACACTCTTTCCTTTCCTCAGTCTGCCAAGCTTGCCCTGCCTTAGGTGACAGTTGTGTGTTCAGCCTGGCATTTTGCCCACCTTTGCTCAAATATCAGCAACTCTAAGATGCTTACTCCCTAAACGATCAATCCATCATCACTCATAGCTATATTATTCAGTTTTATTTTCTTTATTCTTGTTATAAAAATCCATTATCAAGCTAATGTCAGGCTAGATGTGTTTGGAATAATTTTGTCATTTTGGTGACATTTTGTATAGTGGATTTTAGTAATTTTTAAGAATTCCTAGACCAATTGGCAGCATCAGGATGGATGGTGAAGAGATTGAGATTGTACACAGCTTTAGTTTGCTTAGCTCCATAGTCAACAGTCTTGGCACCAGCAGCCAGGAAATTAAAAGACACATTGCCATGGGAAAGTCTGCTGTTAGGGACCTCTCCAAAGTACTGAAGAGCAATGGTGTCTCTCTGGAGACTAAGGTGCGTCTGATACAGGCCATGGTCTTTGCAATCACTTGTTATGCATCAGAGAGTTGGACAATGACTAAGGAGGATAGAAGGAGAATTGATGCCTTTGAGCTGTGGTGCTGGAGAAGAGTATTGAGAATACCATGGACTGCTAGGAAAACAAACAGATTTGTCCTGGAAAGGGTTAAACCAGGTGGCTCCTTGGAGGCAAGGATTTTGAGACTCCGTCTAACATACTTTGGACATGTTGTGAGGAGAGACAGGTCCTTAGAGGGACATCATGCTTGGGAGGGTGGAGGGACAGCGCAGGAGAGGAAGGCCCTCTATGAGGTGGATTGATTCAGTGACTGGGGTAATTGGGATGGGAGTGTCAGAGACAGTGCGATTGGCACAGGACAGAGCGAAGTTTAGGGCTGTTGTACATAGGGTCGCTATGAGTCGCAGGCGACTCGACAGCACATGACAACAACAACAACAACACACACCTCCTTCAGTGATGTTGATTACATTTTTCACTACTGTGTCAGTATTGTCATCATTTCTATTCTGGTTGTTCCTTTTCTATTAAGGAGTTTCTCTGTCTCTCCCCATTTTACCTCTTATCTTTGCTGTTAGGGTCACTGTTGACCATTTTGTCTCATATAAATGTTTTCTGAAAAAGGAAAATGGTGTTGCCAATAACATTTTATTTCTTTTTTAAAAAAATTATTATTTTTGAATTTATTATTATTATTATTAATTTTAATGAAAATTTACAGAGATTTTAGATTTTCCTTCATTCAGTGTTGCACTTTTCTCCCTGCCCACCCTTCACCTCCAGTTTGTTCTTCTCTTTGAAGAGTAAAACAAAAATTCTTTCATTGTTGTAACAATCCCTCCCCCATGAGCCAATCTGTTATTTAGCTGAAAGGGAGTCTCTGACAGTGGTTTCAGTTCAGAGTTCAAAGGATTCCTCAGGGTGATAGTTTCAGGAATTCCCTTAGGTCTCAATCTTTCCAGTAAATCTGGCTTTTTGTAAGAATTCAAGTTTTATTCTATGTTTTTCCTTCCCATTTCAGGACCATCTATTATGTGCCTTGTCAGAACAGTTTGGTAGTGATAGAGCTGGGCACCATCTAGATGTTCTGGTCTCAGAGCTGGGAAGGTCATTTATGGTTTATGTAGACTGTTAGTCCTGTACACAAGTTTCTTCTCTGAATCTTTGATTTCCTTCTTTCTCTTTTGCTCTGGGCAAGAGTGATCATTGGATCTTAAATGGTCACTTGCAAGCTTTTAAGACCCTGAATACTACTTAGCAAATTATGATTTTGTTAGGTGCCATAGAATTGAGTATGACTCATAGCTACCCTATGAACAAAATATATGAACCCTATTCTATCCTGTGCCATCTTCACACTTCCTGCCACACAAGAGCCCATTGCAATAGTCACTGTGTCAGTCCACCTGATTGAGGGTCTTCCTCTCCTTTGCTGACCTTCCACACTTCCTAGTATCATATCCCTCTCCAAGGAATAGCCATTTCTAGCAAGGTGCCCAAAGTATGTCATCCTTGCTTCCAAAGAGCACTCTGGTTGCACCCTCTCCAAGACATAATTTGTTGTTCTTTTGGTCATCCATGAGATATTCAGTGCTCTTCTGCAACACCACAGCTCAAAGGCATCAATTCTGTCATCTTTCAGTGTCCAACTGTCAGATGCATAGCACGTGACTGAAAAGACTATGGCTTGAATCAGACCCACCTTAGTCCTCAAACTCACATTATTGTTGTTGTTGTTGTTATGTGCCTTCGAGTCGCTTGTGACTCATAGTGACCCTATGTACAACAGACCTAAACCCTGCTCTATCCTGTGCCAATTGCATTGCCTCTGACACACCCATCCTGTTTACCCCAGTCACTGAATCAATCCACCTCATAGAGGATTTTCCCCTCCTGCGCTGTCCCTCTACTCTCCCAAGTATGATGTCTCTCTCCAAGGACCAATTCCTCCTTACAACATGCCCAAAGTATGTCAGACGAAGCCCCAGAATCCTTGCCTCCAAGGAGCAGCCTGGTTTAACCCTCTCTAGGATGAATCTGTTTGTTTTCTTAGCAGCCCATGGTACATTCAATACTCTTCTCCAACACCACAGCTCAAAGGCATTAATTCTCCTTCTATCCTTCCTAGTCATTGTCCAACTCTCTGATGCACAACAAGTGATTGCAAAGACCATGACCTGTATCAGATGCACTTTAGTCTCCAGAGTGACACCATTGCTCTTGAGTACTTTAGAGAGGTCCCTAACAGCAGACTTTCCCATTGCAATACGTTTTTTGATTTCCTGGGTACTGGTGCCAAGAGTGTTGACCACGGAGCCAAGCAGACTAAAGGTGTTAACAATCTCAATCTCTTCACCATGCATCCTGATGCTTACAATTGGTCCAGTGGTAAAAATCTTTGTCTTCTTGACATTGAGCCTCAATCCATATTGAAGGCTGCAGTCCTTGACCCTCTGCAGCAAGTGCTTCAGGTCCTTCTCAGTTTCAGCAAGCAGGGTTGTGTCATGTGCATAAACTAGATTGTTAGTAGATCTTCCACCAATACTGATGCCACACTTCTCCTGATAGAGCCCAGCCTCTTGGATAATCTGTTCTGCATACAGGTTGAAAAGTTATGGAGATAGGACACATCACTGGTGTACACCTTTCCCAAGTTTGAACCATGCAGGGTTTCCCTGCTCTGTTATGACAACTGCCTCTTGGTCCAGTCCAAGTATAGGTTTCGCATTAGCATGATCAAATGTTCCTTAAACTCACATCATTACTCTTCAGTAATTTGGAGAGGTTCCTAACTGCAGGTTTTTCCAGTGCAATGCATCTCCTTATTTCCTGACTGCTGGTACTAAGGGTGTTTGTTAATTGTGGATCCAAGTAAGATGAAGTTGTTGACAATTTCAATCTCTTCTCCATCCATAATGAAGCTTCCTATCAGTCTGGTGGTAAAAAACTTTGTTTTCTTGACATTGAGATGCAATCCATACTGAAAGAAACTAAGATGTAGAAGATAAACTTTATGAACTATATTATGCTAGTTTACCAAATTGTCCTACGAGACTATGGTTCTAAAACTTCAAACCTAGTAAACCATGAGGTGTTTGGTTTGTCTAGGAAATATCCGTAACTTTCCCCCCTGTGCTTTATTATACATAGGAAAATATATATGGCAGACAGTTATATGAATGTACATATGTCTACAGATACACTTATACATGTGCATTTGTGTATGTATACATATACTTTCCCATATACTTATTCATATATATTTAGGGAGCTCTGGTTGCCTGTGGTAAGAAGTTGGGTTGCAATCCCAGAGGCACATGGTTTGAGTCCACCAGCTATTTCGTGGAAGGATGGGCAGTATCCTCCAGTGCAATTAATTGCCTCTGAAAACCCACTGGAGGTTCAGAGATGAGTTAGATATGAGATGGTACAGAATAACGACATGTAATTTTCCTATGCAACCATATATATTTTTGGTTGTTACTGCTGTTCATAATTGCAAATGTTATACCATTTGCCAAAAATGTCTCTTTTTCTTGTGTACATGTTAGTGCCATTATTTCCCTTGGTCAGGCTGTCCACCTTTCTACATTTGGTACTACATTATTAATAACCAAAAAGAACAAGGGTCACCTATCAAAAGGAAGCCTGGCTGCTAACCAGACAGTTGATGGTTTAAACCTACCAGCTTCTATATGGGAGAAAGATTTGGCTTCTGTAAAGATTACAGCTTGGAAGCCCTGTGGGGCAGTTCTGCTCTATCCTATAGCATCACTTACACAAAATTAACTTGGTTGCAATAGATTACTATCTCCTTGGTGATTTCCTCTTCTTCCTCTTTTCCATCTCTGATAGCCCCATTTAATAAACATTGCTTTCCATATGGTTGCTTATTCTTGTCTTTTTTATGAAAGTGTGATGATATACTGTCTTATTTCAGTAAGCATAATATCTTCTAGATTCATCTATGTTATGTTTTGAGAACTCATCGTTTTTCTTAATGGCTGTATAGCCTTTTATTGTACATATGCACCATGTTGTATATATTCATCTGCTGATGGACACATAAGTGGTTTCCATTTTTTCCGCTATTGTGAATAATGCTTATAGTAAACATAGGTGTGGCACCCTGGCTGCTTCTGTTCAATTACAGTTCTGAAATTCCAGGGATCTAGACCAAGATTCAGAATGGCACATAGAGGATACTTAGTAATTTCTCAGTGAAAACTCTCAGAAAATAAATCAATAGAAATTTTGAAGGACATTAAAAAATAATTGGGGTGGGGGGGTGATTGGTGATTGTAAACATGCCAATTTTTCAATGCCTGAAAGCAAACTTGAAAGTTCTGAAAAACACAAGTTTTTTGCAATCTTCCTAATACTTTATTGTGCTGTGAATCGGTTTATAAACTGGATGATATGATGGTGTCTCATGTCTCAAGGAGGGACACATTTGGAACATTTGTGGCTCTTGTGGCTTTATTTTCATCCTCAAGTGGGTGTCAGCAGATGGGACTTGCCAGATGAATTGAGATGAAATGGGGGTCTCTGGCTCTTAGTCCACCATCATTTTGGTGTGCTGGAATTTAAAAATGCCATAATGCATGGCTATGCCTGCAGGCTGATGGCTATTGTGTTGTGAGTTGGTTTGCATGCTGGATCATGCCATAGGGCCCTCTGGCCTGTGGCCCTCAGGCCAAATGTTAATTGATTTGGGATGAACATTTTAAGTGGTACAGCAGTGATCTGTCTGTTTGCTCTACTGAAGTAACTTAGAGTTGCTGTGATGATGGACAACTGTGCCATAGGTGTGTCAAACACCATAATCAGCTACCCATTAGGGGCAGTTTGGTGGAACTCTCAGATTGATTCAAGTTTGAAAGTAGGAGTGGCATCCACTTCCTAAACCACATGCCTCGAAACTATGAACTTGGAGAAATGATGATAGTTCTAGAAAGGCTTTAGGCCTTTTGTTCATCTTTTGTTTATATATGTTAGAAGCAGGAGTGGCATCCACTTCCAAAATAGCTTGCCTTTGGAAATACCAAGAACCTGGAGAAAGGAAAAAGTTTTACAAGAGTTCAGATCTTTTGTTCATAGGGTCGTTATAAGTCGCCTACAACTTGACGGCACTTAACAACAACAACATACAGAAAGAGAGCCCTTGTTTTTAAATGTCAGTTGGGCCCGAGGCCTAGTGTTATTATTTTGGAGGAGCATTCTTCTAAGTTGTACAGCACTGTTCTGTCAATTTGCTGTACTGAGGTAAAATCTGGGTTTGCTGTGAAGCTGGACCTTGAGTCATTGGAGGTAAAATGCCATAATGGCTGCCCACGGTGTACAGTGTTTGCTGAAGCTCCCAGTTAAGACAGGTTTGGAAGAAGGAGTAGCATCCAACTTCCTAAACAACATGCCTTTGGAAACTCTGTGAACTAGGAGAAATTACGATAGTTATAGAAAGGCTTCAGGATTTTGGCTCATAGGGTGGCTATGAGTCATGCTTGACTCATCAGCAATAAAAAACAACAGTACTTGTTGTTAGACTACTTCCTCTTTGAGAGAATTAAAAGGTGATATTTCCTTAAGCAGGAAGCTCTGATGGCCTAGTGGGTCAGGAATTGTCCTTCCAACCCAAAGGCAGGCAGTACAACTCCACCAGCAGCTCTGCGGGAGAAAGATAAGCAGGCACTCTCCTACCACGTGACTTACAGCTTCTGAAAATCCTTTAGAGGGCCAGCTGCAAATAGGTTCTAACAAGATCGCAATGAGTTTTGAGTTTTTAGTTTAACATAATTATCACTATATACTGGTCTGGAGAAGGGTTATTTTTGAAACAGGAGAATATATGCATGTTGTTGTTGTTGTTAAGTGCCGTTGAGTCACAGGCGACTCATAGCGACTCTATGAAGGAGAGTCTTCGACACTTGGGTGCCATTCATCCTCTCTCCAGGTTCATAGGGTTTCTGGAGGCAAGCTATTACAGAAGTGGATGCCACTCCTCCCTCCAAGCTTGTTTTCATCTGGGAGCTCCACCCCACTCTCTGTCCACATTGGGTAGCCGACCATTGACACATTTGACACACCAGTGTCAGGTGTTCAGCCTCATAGCAACCACAAGAGACCACTGTACAGCAACTTGTACACCAGGGCTATACGACCCAGAGTAATGTCTGAACAAAAACAGTGGAAGACAGGCCCGAGGGCAGCGGATTAAAAGTCACCCACCTTTGACTTGGTAGCATCGCTTTCTGTCCACCGAACCAGCTGATCCCTCTATGTTGATGTTATTGTTGTTAAGTGCCGTTGAATCACAGGCGACTCATAGCCACCCTAATAAGGAAAGTCCTCAACCCTTGGGTGTCTTTCATCCTCTGTCCAGGTTCATAGGGTTTCCAGAGGCAAGCTATTACAGAAGTGGATAATATATGCATATTTTTCTTATTAGATAATACACATTTATTTTATACACATACACACACACATTGTAGATTTACTTTTGGCCCACATGAAATTGCAGCTTAATATTTGACAACTGTATGCTAGTGAAATGACTGTTCATCAGCCAACTTTCCTCTTCTATCTGTTACCATTCTTGGCAATTGTGAAAGGGGAAAGAAACAAGATTTCAGGGATTTTTAAGTTGGTGCTCGGACAGCCACATGTATACTCATTAGTCCTCTCTCTTCTTGGCAGATAAAGGCTGGTGGTGGGAGAATGTGATTGCAGCCCTTTTTGAGAGACACACTCCAGCCAGCTGGCTTATCCGCTCGGTGAGTATATTTCCTGTGGAGCCCGCCTCACCCTGAATTCATCTTCTTGATGCGGTGTCATTTTAGTGTTTTGGGGTTTTTTTATTATAATTTTTGTTTATTTTTAATTTTATTATTTTTGTGTGTGTGTACCATTAAATTGGATCTGACTGGTATTGCCTCTCCTTCTCCAGAGGAGCATCTGATGGATTTGAACCGTGTGCTTTTGGGATTGCAGCACAGCTTCCTTTAGTGTTGTTTTTATTGTAAGATGCTACTGGAAAGAGTAAGAATCTCAGTGATGTCTTGATATTCATCTACCTTTTTCATAGTAGGTTAGGATTTTCAGCAGTAGCTCAGTGAGAAGAGAAAACATGTTCTTCCACAGATATAAATATGTATTATTTTTAAAATATTTTTCTTATTAATTTTAATGAAAGTTTACAGAGACTTAGGATTTCCTTTCATTCATTGTGGCACTTTTCTTCCTGCCTATCCTCCCTCCCAATTTACTCTTCTCTTTGAAAAGTAAAAGAAAAATTCTTTCATTGTTATACAGTCCCTCCTCCCAAGTCCACTCCACTGTGCAGCCTTCATTCTGGACTCCTGTCATGACAATAATACCTAATCACATATCCCTTTTAAACAGTTCTCTCCTTCATCTCTTTCAATGCAGTATACATTATTCATCACCTCTTTCTCAGTCTCCCCTCAACCTCAATGTCAGTCCTGTTTTACAACAGGGGCACTCTGCAATATTTGTCCATTTGTGACTGAGATATTTCACTCAGCATAATGTCCTCCAGTGTCTCCCATTTTGTATATTTCATGAGTTCCTTTTTTTTCAATGCATCGTAGTATTCCATAGTGTGAATATACCAAAGCTTCTCTATTCATTTGTTTATTGATGGGCACTTGGGTTGTTTCCAGCTCTGTGCTATTGTGAACAAAACTGCAATAAACATGAGTGTGCATATATCAGCTTGGGTGTCAGTTATGGTCTCTTTGGGGTATATTCTCAGTAGTGGAATTGTTGGGTCAAATGGTATCTCTATTTGCAACTTTTTGAGAAAGTGCCATACAGCCTTCCATAGTGGTTGCACCATTTTACACTTCCACCAGCAGTGAATTAGGGTTTCAGTTCTCTGCAACCTCGCCAGGATTTTATGTTTGTTGTTTTGTTAAATTTTGCTATTCTTAACGGGGGTGAGATAATATCTCATAGTTGTTTTATAAAGTATCTTTTTTCATATGTCCCAATTAGTCAAATAAATTCCTTAGAAGGTGGCTCTGCATGCAATAAAACGGGCATCTGCTTTATAGGAATCTAGTAATAGATGCTAGGAGAAGCTATGATGCTTGGAAAAGTGGAGGGATAGCATGAGAGAGACCCTCAACCAGGTAGGTTGACTCAGTGACTGAGCAATGGGTTCAAGTGTGTCAGAGATTGAGAGGATGACACAGGGTTCATAGGGTTACTAGGAGTTGACCTCGACAGCACCTAACACCACGAATATTAAATAAACAGGGTTCCAGATCACATGGTACTGTATGTGCCATAGTGTTGAAGCCAGCTCATAGTTGACTCTCTTCAATGGGCCTTTATAGGTTGTAAATTGCATAGGAAAAGACTGCCCTTCTTTCTTCTGAGGAGCAATTGTTGATTTCAAACTGCCTGCCTGCCTTTGGGTTGGCAGTGTAACTCCTTACCCACTAGGCCACTGGAATATAATATACCATGTAGAAAGCGCAAAACTCAAAGCTCTCTGACTATGCAACTGGCCCTGCTCCACTTCAGCCCTTATGGCTGCTCTTAAATGATTGTCCTCTCAACTTCTTGCTGTTCTTCAAATGCTTTTGCAGAAGTACTTCCTGCATACACTTAAAACTTATACATCCCTTGCATTTTTTCTCTTTTTTCTTTTTCTTAAAATTAGTTTTAATTAAAGTTTACATAGACTTAGGCTTTCTAGTCATTCATCACCCCCTCACCCCCATTCACTCTTCTCCTTGAAAAGTAAAAGAAAAACTCTTTCATTGTCATGCAATCCCTCCTTCCAAGTCCACTCCACTGTGCAGCTTTCATTCTGGACTCCTGTCATGACAATAATACCTAATCATATATCCCTTTTAAACAGTTCTCTCCGTCATCTGTTTCAATGCAGTATACATCATTCCTCTCCTTCTCTGTCTTCCCTCAACTGCAATCTCACTCCCTTTTTACAACAGTGGCCCTATGCAAAATTTGTCCTTTTGCAACTGAGATATTTCACTCAGCATAATGTCCTCCAGGGTCATTCATTTTGCATAATATTTCATGAGTTCCTTGTTTTTCAATGCAGCGTGTATTCCATTGTGTTAATATACCACAGCTTCTCTATCCATTCATTTGTTGGTGGGCACTTAGGTTGTTTCCAACTCTTTCCTCTTGTGAACAAAGTCGCAATAAACATGGATGTGCATATATCTGCTTGAGTGGTGGGTTGTTGCAGACTGAGGGTCCCAAAGAATGGAATAATTTTATAATTATTAATAATGAGACAAACAGCCAGGAATGTGATAGAGCAGAGAGCATAAAATGGGGCCAGCAGTTCTCGACTGAAGACCCCAAGACAAGCTTCTCTGTGTCTTTATTGAAAATTATCAGGAAGTAAATCACAAAGAGAATTCAATGCAAATGAAGCCAAGCTCTTTCTATTGAAAACCTGCTTGACTCAGGAAGGAGGGGTTCACAAATGCAAGAATTTGGTTTACCCTTAACTATTAACCTTGATGCCTCCGGGTGAACTCTAGCTCAGGAAGTAACACTCCCTCTGTAGGGGGCCCCTTGCTATGGTTTCTTTTGGGTAAATTCCCAGTAGTGGATCTCTTACATTTTTGAGATGACTTCAAAAATTTTTCATCATATGTTTTAAAAGCTACTAAAAAAAAATCCAGTGTTTATAATGTTATTATTACAATAAAAAAAACTCTTAAAAAGAATACACTGAAATCTAGCCAGTAGAATATAGAAAGAACACTAGATTGAGTGTTTTATTTAGATATAGTTTACATTCAGCCAATGCACAGATCGTCAAGAGTTTACTTAGTTCACCTGGTTTTGAGAGTTGCATGCACTTGTTTATCCATGTAACCAACAACAAAATAAGACATAAAACATTTAATTTCCATGGATAATTCCCTACTGATCCTCTCCACTCCAGGGAAATATTTTCTTTTGCTTGGTATGTTTTTCATATTCATCTGTGTTGTATGTGCCAGTAACACTTTCCTTTTTATTACTGAGAGCTATTAAATTTTGAGAATTAATTTGTCATGAGGTGTTTATCCATTTTTACTATTGGTGGGCATTTGAATTTTCAGTGTTTGGCTGCTGTGATTGAGATTATTGTGGAAATTATTGCACTAATATTTTTATAAAAATATGTCTTCCTTTTGTTAATACTCTTCTCCAGCAACACAAATCAAAGTCTTTGATTCTTCTATCGTTATCAGTCATTATCCAGCTCTCTGATTGATGCATACCAGCAATTGCAAAGACTACTGCTTGGATCAGACACACATTAATCTCTAGATTGAAATTGTTGCTCTTTAACACTCTGGAGAGGTTCCTGACAGCAGACTTCCCCAATGCAATTCGTCTTTTGATTTCCTGACCACTGGTGCCACAAGTGTTGATTGTGGAATCAAGCAAGCTGAAATAGTTAACAATCTCAATCTCTTCTCCATCTATCATGATGCTGCCAATTGGCCCAGTGGTGAGAATCTTTGTTTTCTTGATGTTGAGCTTCAATCCATATTGAAGATCACAGTCTTTAATTTTCTGCAGCAGATGGTTCAGGTACTCCTCAGTTTCAGCAAGCAAGGTTGTGTCATCTGCATAGTCTGGGTTGTTGAGGTTGTTGATGAGTCTTCCTCCAATCCTGGTGCCCCAGTCTTCCTCATAAAACCCAGCATCCTGAATGATCTGTTCCACATATAGATTGAAAAGATGAGGAGATAGGATGCATCCCTGATGTACACCTTTTCTGATTTTGAACCATGCGGTGTTTCCTTGTTCTGTTCTGACGACTGCTTCCTGGTCCAAGTGTAGATTTCACATGAGCACAATTAAGGACAAAAGAGCACACTCAGATTAGACTAGCAGATATGGTGACTATACTTGAAGGTTCTGGGAGAATAAGAATTGGATCTTTTAGATTCACTGATCTTTCCCTAGAGCAGAACCGTGCCTCCCACATAATAAGTATTCAAGAAATAGCTGTTGAGAATACTTGAGTAATTCCAAAGTGCATAACAATAAGATTTTGCTTATCTTCAGGGGTTAGTGCTGATAAATAATAAAAATAACAAAGTCTTAAAGATAAAACAAACTTATTGAAAGAACAGATGATTGGAGAAGTGTGGAGTCTTTTGGGTGTCTTTGGGACCTGCCTAAAAGACTCACAGACTTGAGGATGAGGAGCCAGACCTAGAAGTTGTTAGCTTCCGGTTCTCTACTTTTATGAGAAAAATCCTACTGCTGTGGGGACCCCCCTTTATCCCCCATGGCTGAAATGTCTTCCATCTCAGGAGCCCTGATACCCAAAGGATGAGCTCAGAGAAGTTTTTAGATATTGCTGGTAGATGCCATCGAGTTGAGAGTGACCCTATGAATAACAGATCTGAATCCTATCTTGTCCTGCACTGTCCTTATCGTCTCTGACACACTAGAGCCCATTGCTGAAGTCACTGTGTCAATCCTTTTTGTTCAAGATATTATTGCTGTTGTTAGGTGCCATTGAGTCAAGAGCAACCCTAAGAACAACAGATCTGAATCCTGCCCTATCCTGTGTCACCCTTATCATCTCTGGTACACTAGAGCCCATTGCTGATGTCACTGGGTCAGTCCATTTTGGTTGAGGGTCTTCCTCTTCTTTGCTGACACACCATCTTTCCAAGCATGATTTGTTTTTTCCAGGAATATCCTTGTCTAGCTTCTTGTCCAAAGTGTGAGACTCTTGGTCCTGTGGTGAGGACTTCTGTTTTCTTGATGTAGAGATTGAGGTATAATCATGGCTAAATATATCAGGAGAATAATCTTTGGACCACTTGTCTGTCTATTGGTATAGACCACTAATACATCTCTCCCCCATTTTTTCAGACCCTGAATGAGTCAGAAAACTTTGAAGAAGCTGCCTTAAAATTGGCCAAGACTCCAATCATTTCTGATGTTTATTTTATTGTTGGTGGCGTGTCCCCCAGGGAGGGAATAGTTGTAACAAGGAACAGAAATGGCCCAGCGGACGTTTGGCCATTAGAACCTTTGCAAGGAGAGTAAGTAGAATTGAGGGTTCTGGTCACTCTTTATAAGTATGTATAGGGGTGCGTGTGTGTGTGTGTGTATTTTTTTTAAATGATGCCATGAGATAATTTAATTTTGCATATTCTTCTTTATCGAGGCCCTAAATGACTTTGGTGCTCTTTTGTAGGTGGTTCCGAGTGGAGACAAATTACGACCACTGGAAGCCAGTACCTAAGGGAGATGACCGAAGGTAGACCTCTCCACACCCACTAGTTTGCAGGACTTTGCTATAATCAGAAGGACCCCCCCCCCTTCATTTTACAGGAATTGAGTAGACAGGTGCTGTTCTCTGTCAGAAAGTATACCTTGACTCCCTTGCTAATATGCCCTGGCCTAGATGGAGAGTATAGTGTGTGTTGTAGTTGTTTGGTGTTGAGAGTGTGAGATTGGTCCTGATCTCAGCATCAGGAGCCCTTGCTTCTGCCACCAGCCCTGCCAGTGACTCACCTCCATGAGCTCTGTATGGAGAATGAAGAATGAAGAATGAAGGGAACAGGCTGGGTTCCTAGTCTTCTATGTATGACTTAGTTGGAAAGGACATTTCTTAAATAAGTAAATAGCCAGTCCAGGAGTTTTTGTTGTTTCTTTCAATTTTGGAAGTTTTATAATTATATATTAATCAAGGAGCCTGGCTGATAAAAATGGTTTGTGGCTGACTGCTAATCTGAAGGTTGGTGGTTTGAACCTCTGTAGCCACTCTATGGAAGAAGGGCTTTTGAGCTACTTCCTTCTGTAACGATTAAAGCCCAGAAAATTCTATGGAGCAGTTCTGCTCTGTAACACCTGGGCTCTTGTAAACTGGAATTGACCCAATGACAAAGCAGAAATAGACAGAAGGTAACTGTAAGTCAGAGCATCTCCCAAAAGTGAGTAGTTAATGATAGACCTCACCTTACTAGAAAAAAGTAGAAAGGATTTAAAAAATATTTAAAAAGCATTTCAGGAGTATGCTGCCAACTATTTAATTATGTGGCAACATAGTTTTTACTCTCCTTTGAGTAAACGGTGTAAAAAGCCCAGTTGTTGAATTGGTTCCACCGTGTTAGTTTGGGCCAACATAGGAAGTATTCATGGGGTTTTGAGGACAGGGGTGTGAGGATATGCCTTGTGTTGTGCCTCCCAAAGAGAGATCTGATGAGATGCCGTGTTGACCTTTGACCACTGTCCTTCCAGGACGCCTGCCATCAAAGCCCTTAATGCCACTGGCCAAGCAAACCTCACTCTGGAGACACTATTCCAGGTAATTTATGTTGCTATGCCCAACTTTTGCCATGATGTTTGATGTCTTGTTAACAGTAGTAACAATTCTCTGAAATCACAACTTTAAAAAATGTATGTGATAGATTAAATGTTAGTGTGAATGTTTAGCCAGCTTCCAACATTAAAAAAAAAGTCTGATGATATTTTATGGACATGTTTTTGTATAGGTTAAAGAATCTATCTTATCTAAGTTTTATTTCACTTTTAAAAAATTGACATAATTGTATGTTCACTGTTTAAAAGGAAAAAAAAGGATTTTAAAAAATTTGTAGCTGCATTGTTGTTTTATTGATTGCTGTCGAGTTGAACATGACTCATAGCGACCCCATGAACAAAAGGCCTGAAGCCCTTCCACAACCATCGCCAATCCTCAAAGTTCACAGTTTCCAGAAGCGTGTTGTTTAGGAAGTGGATGCCACTCCTGCTTCCAAATAGCTTTACCACCTCAATATTCACTGATGTACTGAATGATTTATATATAGTCTTCTTCTTATGACGCTTGATGTATTTCTTTTACAGTATTCTTTGTAATATGTTATTTTTCTATGCAGGTTTTGTCAGTAGTCCCAGTTTTTAACAAGTAAGTAGCATGTCTACTAACATTGCTGTTGTTAAACCTCTTAGAATGGTAAATTTATCATGCTCTTCCTCAGCAATGATATGTGGGCTCCATGGACCAGGCATTCTAGGTTCTATATGGACAGCAGTGAACAAAACTTAAGTCCCTGCTTTCAGGGGGTTGACATTCTAGTAGGGGCAGGCAGCACATTAAACAGATACACTGTAAATCTAGTGAGAAGTCCTGTGAAGAAAAGCAAAGGTAAGAAACAGGACGATGGGGCAGGAACAAGGCAGAGACGTCTTCATCCTAGCTTAAAAAAACAGACACCGAACCAGAACCACACTCAGGAACCCGGATTTGTAGCAGATGCCAATTTCCATGGTGTAACTGCTTCCACCATGGCCAATGTCAGACTTCGAGATGCTGCATAACATTTGCATAGCTAACAGTCGGTGCTGACCACCAGCCTGTGAGCGTCTGGGCCAGCACTACACTCGTAGGGCTCCCTGAGCAGGGGACAGACTTCCACATGTCAGAGGTACAGTTTTGTCCCTCAAGGTTTGTTTTAAAAGAGAGTTGAAAACCTTGATTTGGCTTCTTCCAGTTATTTTTCAAAGCGCTTCTATAATGAATAGTGAATGTATCTTTTAGGAATTAGTATCATAATAAAATAATTCTGCTTATTTTCGTAAAACACAGTGAAAATTTCCCCATTATATTGTGTAGGGCTTTTGAGTATATTTTTTAATATCTGGATAGTGGAGTTGTTCGGTGCTGTTGGTGCATAATGACCCCTTGTGAGACAGAACACAATGCCCTTGGCCCTGGGCCATCCTCGCCATTGGTGCTGTGTTTGAGCCCTTTGTTGCACCCACTGTTTCCACCCATCTCATTGACATTCTTCCTCTTTTTCACAGACTCTACCAAGCATGCTGGCCAATAGGACATCCTATTGTTAACTGTTACCTAACTGTTAGTTTTTCCTCTATTAAAACTCTGAAATAAGCATGTTTATCCATTTACCCCTGCTTTGGATTGTTCCCTTTGGTTGAATTCCTAGAAGTAGGATTACTGAGTTAAAGAGTATTTACATTTAAACTCATTGCCATCGAGTTGGCTGACACTCCAGCAAGTTTTCAGAGACTGTAAATTGCATGGGAGGAGACTGGCCATCTTTCTCCTGAAGAGCAGCTGGTGTATTTTAGGTTGGTAGCCTATCTCCTTACCTGGGACACCAGAGCTCACCGAGCATGTTTAAATGCCTCCAGTAATGTGTTTTGATTTATTTTTTCTAAAATTAAGCCTGCAGTTATTAAAACATAGTTTGTGGTGTAGTTTGTTTCTCTCTATTTTATAATTGAAACCCCAAGAGGAACTAAACTGTTAAAATAATGGTCACCACTAAGCCAGATTATCACAGATAATCTGCTCTTTGACCCTCTACATGTAATTATTAAAGCTGTTCAAAATGGGAGGTTGATAAGAGTTTGAGCGTTAATAGCAAACTCTGTGCTGCCCCCTAGTGCTGTTCTACAAAATTACATTTACCTGCAATAGAACTCTTCTGTGGCTTTAAGCAGAGAAGATACTGAAACAGAGATAGCAGGCAAGTAGCTGAGGTCCCTTTGAGGGAGCCTACATGGCTTTTGGGTGTGGCCTCTGTCTACTCTCTTTGGATTTATGATTATCTTTGAACTTAGCACCGGTAATTCTGCCAATTCCTGAACCAAGCCAGCTCTAGATGCTTTCACTGGTAGCAGAGAGGAGTGAACGTGTGTGTGTGTGTGTGTGTGTGTGTGTGTGTGCGCGCGCGCGCGCACGTGCACATGTGCTTATACACTCATATTATTAAAAATTTGTCTAATTCTTTTCAGCTGCACAATTTATACTACAGTAATGAGCGCTGCCTTTCCAGACAAGTACATGACTAGGATCAGAAACGTGGGTTAGAAGTAAGTATAAGGGTGAATTGTAGGGATTGTAAACTGTATAACCACTCTGGAAGGCAGTTTGGCTTTTCCTCAAAAAGCTGGACATAGAAAGTCCATATGACCCCGCTATTTTTCTACTTGGAATATACCCTGAGAAAATGAGAACTGAGGCACAAAAGGAGACTTGTACATCAATGTTCATAGCAGCGTTATTCATCATTGCAAGAACATGGAAACAGCCCAAATGTTCAACCACAGTCGAAAGGACTGCGAAATTATGGTCCATTCACACAATAGAATACTATGCAGCATACAGGAGCAATGATTTTGTAAGTTATTACCTAACTTGAGAAGGACTGGAGAGCATTATGCTAAATGAACTTAGTCCCACAAGGACAAATATTGTATAAGACCATTATTGTAGAATGTGTATGAGGCTCTAAGGTGGGGGAAGGTGAGAGGAGAAGGGTGAAGATGGGGTTGTGTGGTTAATCATAGTGTTGCACAATTTGATGGATAGAGGGAGAAATGGGAAAAGGAAATGGGAAACATCCAGCGTGAAAAAGAATGTATGCGAACTTTGTAAGTAAACCAGGATAAAATAAAAATTTTATTAAAAAATAAGTGTAAGGGTGAATTCACCCATATTATAAAAGTTACTATAGATTGCTTGGAAGGGTGGTTAAGGAGAAGGTGTTGGTGTTTCTTACAGAAGAAGGTAGTGTCCTTAAGATTTATCCATACAGAATGTTCTCTGTGAGTCCTCTGGCCGATGATTGGCATTTGTGTCTGATTGACATTACTGGATATTTTCTTTTGAATTGCTTGCATGACACCTCATCTTTGGTGCTTTTTGTCCCTGTCACTAAACCTCCTCTCAGGGCAAAATGTTACCTTCCACACATGGTTACATGCCATTGAATCGGATGTGCCAACTCATTGATGACTTTCTGGTGGGGTTTTTTTTCCCTTTTCTATTTATTTATTTAACTGGTGGGTTTTTATAGACTGCAAATTGCATGGGAGAAGATGACCCATCTTGCTCCTGCAGAGCAGCTGGTGGATTTGAACCACTTGCCTTTGGGTCAGTAGAGCAATTCCTTGCCACCAGTCACCAGAGCTCCCTACTTATACCTGAGTAATGGTAAAACCCTGAGGGAACCCCGGTAGTACAGTCTGTGTGGAGAGTTGTGCTTCTAACCCAACGGCAGAGCCTCCAGGCTCTTCAGATCCATCAGCGGGCTCTAAACAATCACCTCCCATGTGGTCGACAGCCTCAGACACCTGATGGAGGGTTAGAGATGTGTCAGTTCTGATTCCATGGCAGTGTGTTGAGGTGAATGGGGAAACGCAGAAACTTTGAAGCATGAGTAGACAGATTCTTTAGGCAAAGGACACTTAGAGAACCTATTTCAGACACCAGTGAGCCCAGAGGGGAAGGGAAGGACCCAACGAAAAAGAAGTCCTTTCTGCTGTACCTGAAATCAAACTATACACATCCACTTCCTGGTAGGTCACCTGTCCCCACTGCTAGCAAATTCTGGAGCTTGTAAACCTACCTGATATTTTGGCTCACTTACTAGGGGACTATTAAAAAATAATGCTCAAATTAAATGACTTATTTACTTTTCCCTTACAGGTGATATTTTAAAAATGGAAAAATTTTTGTGAAGAGCTGCATTTTAAAAATTATTAAAAAATCAAGTCTTGTATTTTATGAAAAATACTGGCCCCATGCCCATTAAACTTTGAGGTGGAATTGGAGATCACTTTGGAGGTTATGTGGATAAAGTGTGTAAGAGAAGTGTTGTCTTTACCTTAAATCTCTTCGTGCTACTTGAACAACTCTAATTTGAATGGTCTTAGAGGTCAGCAATAGACTTGAGTCCCAACTTCTCCCAGTAATTGTTTTCATTGTGTACTGGCAAGTTGGAACTAACCCATACTTGACCTCCAGTGAGTTTTCAGGAGTAAATCGCATAAGAGGAGATAGCCCATCTTTCTCCCGTGGAACAGCTGGTGGATTCGAACTGTGTATGTTTGCCTTGGCAGCACAATTTCTTTTTCTTTTTTTAAAAAATTTATTTTATTTCATTATTATTTTGTGTGTACCATCAAATCAGATCTGACTGGTACAGGAGGAGATTGTTCCTCCTTCTCCAGCAGAGCATCTGGTGGATTCGAACCGTGTATCTCTGAGATTGCAGTTGCAGCTTCTTGCCACGAGGCCACCAGAGCTCGCCGGCAGCACAATTTCTTATCTCTAAACCACCAGAGCTCCCTTCTGCAACTCACAGAGAACTATGTTATCAGACCTCAGCTTATCCACTGAGGAAATGAACTGACAAGAACTCTTTATTCATGTGAAATCCTTCTGAGGAGCTTAAGAGAAAGGTTCTTTAAAAAAAGAATTGAGAACTTCTTGGACACCTTTCAAACCTGTAACTGAATTCACTCCTGTGGCTTTACTTTCAGCCAAACAATAGACAGGTGTATAAGCACCAGGAAGGTGGTTACTTCTTGGAAGAGTCATTTGAGCTTGAAAGGGAAGATTCAGAAGGCAGGAGAGGATAGGAAAGGGTACACAGAAACCAGAAACTCAGTCAATGACATGGAACAAAATGTATGTAAATTGTCAAATTGAAAATTAACTAACTTGCTCTGTAAACATCCACCCAAATCAGAATAAAAAGTTCAAAAGACAAATACAAGAAAGAAATTGATAACTCCAGCTTATATGGAGTCTTGTTTGAATGTTAGCCTGATTTTGATCATGTCTTTCCATGGCATAAGATTTTCACTTTTATAATGTTTCTAGTGTTTATTTTTGAGATGATGAACTTTTCTATTTCTAGATAGCTACTTTCTTATCACTTTTGAAAGAAATGTGAAACCAAGTTATTTCTCACTGTCTTTGGTTAGTAAACTGTTGGAAGAGAGTTGACAAAGAGAATAAAAACATAATATTTCTGTATTATTTTGTGGTGCGTTCTCCTTCTTGTCTAATACCTACAGTGTTCTTGAGGAAGCAACCCTCTAGATGATAAGCAAGGGCCCGTTACCGTAAGCAAGGCAAGCATGGATTAACTTGTCCTAATTTACCAATCTGTTGTCAACCATTTCACTTCTATGTTGTTAGGTGCCGTAAAGTAACCCTGTGAGCAACAGATCTGAACCCTGCCCTATCCTGTGCCATCCTCAGCATCCCTGACACACTTGAGGCCATTACTACAATCATCATCTCGCTTTGATGGGAGAAACATGTGAAACGGCTCGCTATGGATTAGTAAATAAGCACTAATAAAGCTGTGCTTATCTTGCTTGCTGGGTGCTTCAGTCCTGCCAGGGATTGTAAGTTTAACAAGAGGTTTTGATTCTGTAGGTTGGTGCTGTGGGGTTGGGAGAGAGAGACTGGTCAGATCGAGAAGAAAAGTCTTTGAAGTGGTAGAAAAATGTGACATGGGTCACTACAGATTACAAAGTAAACCCATGCTTTCCTTGCTTGTTGGCTAATGTAATAATTGTTATAATTAAAATATCAGCACAGCTGCTTTGTAGAATTTGATTTTTCTCATATGTATTCAGTGGAACTTCTTTGAGGATGAAGTCAGAAAAGGATGAAAACAATGAACAAAGGATTTTCCTGGTTAGTGTTCCATCAGAACAGAGGAAAATGGAGTGTTAGGTGTGAACTGCTCTCCAGGTCATCTCGTTCCTGCTGGCCAGACTGCATACCTTTCCTTGTGGTGTTGGTGTTGGTTACCGAGTTGACTATGACTGATAGTGGGACTCTGTGAACAACAGATTCGAACCAGGCCCTATCCTTCCCAACCTCTGCCATGCTAAAGCCCATTGTGACATTCTCACAGTTACTTCTCCTCTTTGAAGGTCTTTCTCTCTTTTCCTGACTCTTCAGCTGTTCCAGGATGATGTGTTTTACAAAGGACCGGTCATTCCTGACATGTCCAAAGTGTATGAGATGAAGCATCACTGTCCTTATCCCTAAGGACCACACTGGCTGTGTTTTCTTCAGGAAAGATGTGTTTGTTCTTTTGGCAGTCCGAGATCTTCAGTGCTCTTCACCAACACCACAATTCAAAGTAAATGATTTTTCAGTCGTCCTTATTCATTATCTAACTTTCAGATGCCTACAAAGCAATTGAAAATAATATGGCTTAGATAAGGGGCATCTTAATCCTTAAAGTGATGTCCTTGCTGCTCAGCACTTTCAAAGAGGTCTTTGACAGTATCTTTACCCAGAGCAGTGCTGTCTTTTGATTTCTTGACTGGTGCTACCATGGATGTTGATTATGGATTCAAGTTAAATGAAACCACTGATAATTTTTATCCTTTCTCCGTTTGTCATGACATCCATTTGAATAGGGAAGTTCTGATGACACAGCCCATAGGCAATTGTACTGCTAACCCAAGTGTGGCACCTTTCTAGCCATTTGGGTCCACGAGTGCCTCTGTGGGGAAAGGTGGGAAATTGCTACCACATTTCATATCTCAACCTGTTGCCTTTGAATCGATCAAGACCAACTTATAGCTGACCCTCCAGTGGGTTTTCGGAGGCTGTGAGTTGCATGGAAAAAGATTGTCCATGTACAATACAACACTTCCAAAAATCCACTGGACACTCAGCTCTGAGTTGGTTTCAACTTGATGACAATGAACGCATGATATTGAGATGTAATCCTGATGAAGAATCCATAGGAAGTCTTTGATCTTCTGCAGTAAGCACTTTTAGCAAGCAAGATTGTATCATAATGCTGATTGTTAATGAATCTTCCTCCAGTCATAGAGTTCAACTTTTCCAATTATTTACACAGCGTATGAATTGAATAGATATGGAGACAGAATACAACCTAACACATACCTTTCCTGATTTTAAACCATACAATTTCCCATTGTTCTTTTCAAAAGACAGCTTCTTGGTTTATTTTTAGATTCTGAATGAGCAATGAAGAATTGCTTTTTCATCTAAGAAATTTGGGATTTTTCTATGACAAAGGACGT